ATCATCCTTCATTCAGGTATTTCTACTTCATCTAAGCACAGATTTATGTTCAAAAATTTTTGGCCTAAATTGGACAGATATTGGGACTTGGTTTTGCATATTTTTTCATCCCCAACTTCTGGAAATCCAACTTTGGACTTCTGCAGCAAACTTAAACTCCTCAAAGTTAGCATCAAAAGTAAAGACTGGTCCAATTCTACTACTATTCAAAAACACATGGATGAGCTTAATATTCTGCAATCTGATTGCCTCAACAGTCTCAACTTGGATCCTCTTGATTCAACGCTTAATGCCAACCTTAAGGCTATTAACCAAAAAATAGCTGATTTTACTCACATGTTGGCTTCCTGGACTATACAACGTGCTAAAGCTAAGTGGCTAACTCAAGGTGAAGAGGACTTGAAATTCCTTTATGCTAAAATTCGTGCCAGGCAAAGTTCAAATAAAGCTGTCCTTAATTTGGCTTCTACCTTTAGCTCCTCTTCCAGGCAAGACACTGTTAATTCTATTATTGATCACTTTAAAACTTTGTTCAACCCTCCTTCACTTGCTGTATGTGATGTTATCCATTTTCCTATGGGAAATTGTATCACTTCTTTTATGTCTCATAATATTTCCCTTAATGCCACCACGGATGAAATTAAGGCAGCTGTATTCTCGGGAGCCTCTTCCTCTACTCCTGGACCTGATGGTTACAACTTCTTCTTTTATAAATCTGGTTGGCACATTCTCGGGCCGTTAGTTTGCAAGGCTGTTAGGGGATTTCTTTCTTCTGGTTATATGCCTAGTGGGGTGAAAGCAACGGCTATTGCTCTTGTGCCTAAATCTAAGCATACTGCCTCCTTTTCGGATTTTAGGCCTATAGCCTTGTGTAATGTCTTCTATAAGATAATTGCTAAAGTCTTGGCTAACAGACTAAAACCTATCATGCCTTTGATTATCAAAGACAACCAAGCTGGTTTTATAAAAGGTAGAATATCCACTGAAAATATTATTCTTG